AAGTTCAGGCGCCTATGAGGCCTTTTGTCCGGCCAAATCCGGCCGCCGGCCCCTCGTGCGCCGCCGCGTCCACGTTCGCTCCGACACCGGATCCTCCGCTTTTCGCGAGCGCTTGCTCGGACACCCGACGCGGGGCGCAGAGCTAGAGCGCTCCGCGCCCCGCGTGTTGCCGGATTTTTTCTGGGTCAATGAATATGTTGAAAATTAATTTTAAAAAAATATGAAATAAATTATAAATAATATTGAAAATATTGAAAATTATGGTATTTAAGAATACGAGTTAGGAAATGCTTTTCTTCTTCTTTATTTTTCGTTTTGCATAGTTCATATTCTTTTGTTATATTCCGTACCACTCGTTTATTTTTAATCTTCGTAGAAAAACCACCCATTTGCTGAATACAATTCTAGCTGGAGCGCACTTTAGCTATGCATTCACCACTGCTAAAATGTAAAAAGAAATCGACACGCCCAGCGTGCATGAAGGCAGGCCCGCCACAATCGGGGATACAGGGTCCCTGGTACCGGGGCTTGGGCCCCCGAGGGAGCCCGTGTTACCCGTGAAAAACCGCTACGAATTCACATGCAACCCTTGTTTCGTAAGAGAAAGTGAAAAATTTACCCTAAAAATTTCGCAAAAGGTGAATAGATTTTCAGAAACACACTGGGGCACTGTAGAATTCTTCTTAAATTTTCAAAGATGTATACTTCCTGGAAAATTTCTATCTATTTTCAAGATTTTCAGTACAGAGGGATATTTTTAGTAACTGCGTTTCATTTTCTTCCGTCGTCAGATACTAAGAGTCTCCAGTCTGGGCATCCTCGACTTCAATGGCTCATGGCTCAACTCATATGCCATAGACAAACGAAGGGGGAGTCCAGGGGGGCCTGGCCCTCTTAGAACTGACAATAGTATCATATGCCCCCCCCCCAAAAAAAAAAAAAAAAAAAAATTTCCAGATGTTTTGAATGCAACAATTCGCAAGTATTTTGTGCTGAAAGTAGAAAAAAAACATAATTATTCCGCAGAAATGGATGGAAAAAATATTTATGGAAGCTTCAAAATGCGTCCGATATTCGTATAAATTCTAAAATTTCTCGGGGAATTCCCCTCGGACATCTCATCCCCCTCCGTGTTTGGGGCCCGGACCTTAAAACTGGTACCAAGGCGCGAGACTGGATGTGGCGGGCCTGTGTATGGTGCTGCTCGACCAAGAATATTTGAATGTTTGAACAACTGAAAAATAACTACGTGCCTACGTGCCTCACTCCTAGCATGTTATCAGGAGGCTCTTTGACCTTAGGCTAGTTGGGGCCGTCCGCAACAAAACGCTAAAACAAAAATACAATTTATTTTGGAATAATCTGCGTCACTTTTTCCTCCTTATTATCAAAGGTAGTACTGTAAGTTGGACGTATTTTTGTCAAACGGAACTAAGCGCACTTTGAGTTGCTTTTGAGGAATTTAGAATGCCGGATAGCGCGTTCTGTCAAACGGAACCAAGCGCCATGGAAAAGCATTGCGAGTATAGGACGGAATGAGCCCGACGCCCGGTTCCGCCGCCAATCAAAGCCCCCTCTACCTCCCTCCTCCGATGGTGTTTAGTTCCGTTTGACAGAAATGCGTCCAGTTATGATATGCAATTTTATTATGTATATAAATTACCAGTTGAATAAGCTTTTAAAAGATATTTTTGGTGCAAATAAAGAAAAACATCCTAAATAAACTTTACGCCACCATTCCTTTTTTCTTTCCAAATAATCTAGGATTTTAATTTTTTCCCAATTTTCCTTCCCCCAAAGGAAAATGAAATAAAAAATAAAATTATAGTATAGCGCCTCAATTATCCTCGATGATTGGGAGGACCAAAGCCACAGTGGATAATAGAAAATCGCGGATAATCTGAAACTAAGCTAAGTACTTACGGTGAAGTAATGGAAAATGTAAAATTTCAAAATACCCTACTAAAACGATCCTCAAATAATATACAGAATTATGCTGTTATAGTTGAAAATGAATAAAAGAGGAGTATCGATAAGGACCGTTTTTGGGCCATCCCTGAATTTTCTCTACTCTCCGATTTTTTTTTTTTACTACTACTTCAAATAGCCCTCACGGGTTAATCCCACGCTTTAAGTCCCATCCCCCCTCCGTCCCTACTGAACCAGTCCCAGGCAACCATTGTTTGAGACCATCAAACTCGGGTCGCCTGGCCGGGAATCGAACCCGGGACCTCCCGATCATAGAGCAAGCGCTACAACCACTACACCATAGGAGACCGACTTTTGTTCATTGAAGGTCGATATTTTACGGAATGCATCATGATTTTGTCATTTTTGGTATTTTTTCAAGTTTAATACTGCCGTACTAGGGAAGAACGAAGTATGAACCTTCAGTCGTTGCCAAATTTCCTTTCATAAAACGAGAATTTCCTGGTAAATGTATGTATATTTTCCTCCCAATTCTTTAGATAATTCAGTTCACAATTTTACCTAAAGATTCTGAAAATTTAAAGGAAATATATTCATAACTTTCATAAAAAATAAGTATTTTATAGAAGGAAATTCGGCAACCCTCGAATGCTCATACGGCGTTTTTCCCTAGCGCGGCAGAATACTGGTTTAAATATGGGTCTGAGGGCCGATTGCGGCGAAAAATGCGAGTTTCGTGCGTTTGCGTACGAACGCCATGGAAAATTTATGGAAAATTCACGTGCGAAAATGTTTACGTGGTTTTCTAAAGCAAAGGATAAAACATGAGTTGAGATTGGTGCGTCGCGATCGGAGATGCGCTTTTTACCCGTTATTTCAGCCTCGGTACATAAAGAGGAACCACGCTGGTACAAAGCATCAGCACTGGTTCATGAATCAAGCAGAAAACTGAAATACCACATGCGTATGCGATGCAGACACTAAGGTAAAACATTTTTACTAAAAATTAAAAAGGACGTGTTCTTCCCGTCCCCAGAATAATAGACTCCAAAAAAAAAAAAAAAAAAAAAAAAAAATGGAAGCCGCGAAAATATTTCAGCGCTGACGTCTCTCGATGTGCCAGATGTTCCGAGGTGAAAAAGTCACGCTTTCCATTGATAATCGTGAGTGAAATAAAATCTAAAAAGGGGAAAACACGACGAATAAACATGCGTAGGATATAAGTAGCGGCATTTCTGCCGTGCTGAGGAAGAACGCCGTATAAACATTCGAGAGCTGCCAAATTTCCTTCGATAAATTGTTTATTTTTGAAGGAGGTTATGAGTATTTTTCCTTGGTATTTTCAGCTACTTTGGGTGAAATTGCGAACAAAATTATATGAACAATGGGAAGAAAATATGCATATATTTACCAGGAAATTCGTATTTTATCAAAGGATATTTGGCAACGCTTGAAGGTTCATACGGCACTTTTCCTGAACACTTCCGATGAGTCCCGTCATCTGCATGACTCAAAATGCGATTTTCAAGGATTACATGACCAAATCAAAGATTACTAAGGACTCCAGATACCGCATTGGAATAAAAAACGGCCCCCTAGTCCCCTGCAGCTCCAGGGTAGGCAACCTGTTTAGCGGTATGCCATACTTCGAGCTAACGAATATACTATTTGCCTGTTTGCCGTGTGTTTGACCGGTTTCGCCGTGCTGTGCTAAGTTTGGTTAAAGATTCACTGTATTAAATTTTCTTATGTTTTAAATCGTTAAAAAATGCCGAAAAATGCCGGGGGGGAAAAAAAAAAAAAAAAAAAAAAAAAAATTAATGCAAATACTTATGCTCAATTTTCTGAGTCTTTTTACCATGACTAGTGACTAAAATGAACAATTTCCGCAATTTGCCGTTCATAATCTGCACATTCGAAGTGCAATTTCCCATGCACTTCCATTACAGGTGGGCTAAAGTATGGCATACCGCTACACAGGTTGCCTACCCTGGCGCTGCAGGCGACTGGGGGGCGCTTTTTTCCTACAGCAAGTACACGGCGTGCGGTATCTGGAGTCCTTAGTAATCTTTGGACCAAAGCGACCAAATAACCTTTGATGCTAATAATGTGCATGCAGGTATTGTAGGCTCATATCATCACGATGCCTACGGCTAAATATTTTCTGAGGTTTATTTAATTCATTTCAGAGAAAATAACGCGGTACTCCGTTTCTTTTTACACAACCTTTGCATGAAATTAAAATTCTACTGTAACCAAAGGGATCTTGCCTCCAACACTCTGAAAGAGGTTGTTATGGACTGTCCACCTGTCTACGTACACGTACATTCGAGGGCGTGTATTTTTAGGCGTCATTTTTGCTTCTTCGGTGACGTGTGTCTAAATGGAAGCTCTCAGTTTGAACTTGTTTCTCGTAAGTCGTTATTCTTCTTTTTTTAAAAAAATACAAAAAATTAAAATAAAAAATCTTTATTAAGAGCCGGAAAAATTCTCGTGAACAAGTGCTGTCTCTATTTCGCAAAAATGCAATAATTATAAGAATTACACAGCGAACCCATGGAGAATAATTTTTATGAAATACGTCATGTGTTTCGACTTTGGATGTGTCAATGGTTCGGCGATTTCGCGGTATTCGAGACTTCTTACCCGCCGTTAATGCCGATTTCACCGATTTCTGGTAGGAGGGGGGTGGTTCGCAGCCGGTGCGCGCATTCAAATTATCCCCAGATTGCCGCCAAAACGTGTGATTGGTCAGTATCAAATAGCTACAAAAGGAGCGGGAAGAGTAGTTTGTTCATCAAACTGTAGAGGCGCTAGTGTTTGTTGTGATAAAAATTGTTCATTCCGTCGCATGCTCATCCCAAAATTATATTATTTTGCCGAATTATTTTTTGTGTTATTTCAATTCAGCATAGTCTTGAGATGTATGTGAATAGTATTGCTTCATAATTCATAATCAGCAGAATCGGAGCTCTTCGAAGGTACAAAATGGTGCTACCTACGATTTTGTTTTCATCTCGCCGTCCGCTGATTCCGACTCTGCGATTTCCCGACTGTTCGAATTCCACGAGGCTTCTTTTGCGTCCGATTGCCAATCTAATCCTATTTCAATTACGTACCATAAACATCCTTGACTTGATGCTTGGCTCGTGTAGTAAGTACAATCTTCTATCACCTACCTCTCAAATCTCTGTAAGTACCGGAATGAACGTATGAAGTTAGAAGAACCCATGCTTTTGCCAGGATTTTTAGCCTTCAAGATAATACATCTTCAAAGCCTTAGCTATTGGAAACCATAACATTCTACTTGTTTTCCATTCTTTGGACAGTCAGCCCAGCTGAGCGAATGAGACTCCGTCAGTCGTATTGCCACAATTAAGGTGATTCGTCAAGCTCAAGTGACAACTGGATGGTGATATCTCGGCAGATTTTGAATTTTCAGTCAAACAAGGACAACAGCCCATGCATATGAGAAATGGAAGCAGAATAGTGACAGGAAAAGAACCACGCATTCTATTTCGATACATCGAATGCAAGGTTTTTTTCCTAACGCTCTTCTGCCTTAATTTCTCAGAATTCTGCCAATTTCTGGGTCTAGAATGATTCTGTAGGCTCATGCTTAAGGGCTATCATCCTTTGTTCGGCTAAAATTTCAGAATCGGCCAAGATTTTTTACCTCATCGATGCTCTACATAGCATGCCAGTTCAACCTTGTCATTTGAGCTTGACGAATCACCTTAACACTCATTATAAATCAATTCGTTTTCATTCAAAGCAATACTTTTGGACATAATTTTATAGCTCATCCAATTCAAAGTGATGTATAGACAAGATATTGTCCTCGGAGTTAATTTGGCTCATACTGTCCAGTATAACTGTCCATTGAACGCAACCTCAAGTGTCCAACAACGTAAACAAATTATTGAGCACTGGGCTGCAAGATTCGCCCAAGGGCGATAGACCCAGGTCAGTCCGTTTGCAAGATGTTCTTTAGCCGGTCATCCGCATCCACACTGGTTAGCCTTTCTTAAGGTGCATTTTGTTTTCTTTGTATTTCATAAGGTTCTAATAATCGAAAAAAATATATCTTTTGTTTCAGGATGATCACAAATCAAGATTGTTTGTACCCAACGTGGACAGGAAAACTGCAACAAATGGACATGGGTGGACAAAACAGCAATATTGCTTTCAGCAGATAAAAAAACCTTGTTTCCTTTCATTGACAAACAGGCGTTGACAAGAACAAAATGGATGACAGGACTGTGTTGCCCCACAGACATAATAGTTCCCTTTTACTCTTCGCAATGGTGAGAATCTTGATTTTAATTTCAAATTAAGTAGTTTATTTTTGGGATTAAAATTAATCCCCTTTTTTTTATCTGCCCCCCCCCTCCCTATTTTTTCCTTGAGTACTTTGTCCTGCAGAAAATGATATGGACTGCATTCAGCCCTCTCCCCCTCTCCATTCATCAAGTGAATCATGGAGGCAAAAATATTTTACTCTACTAAGCTATTGGAACCTTCTAATGTTGCCAAATTTCTTTCAAGAAAATTTATATTTTTGAGAAAAATTTGATTATTTTCCCCTAAAATTTTCAGACTTGCTAGAAAACTGTGCACAGTAAAACTGCCTGAAAATTTTAGCAAAAAATCTGACAAGGTCTCCGTGATTTGTTAGATGAGGTATGGCAATGCCCAATTGTTAACATAGCATTTTTCTGCAGCACTTTCAATGAGGTGAGTCCTTGAAAAGTAGCTTTTCTGAGCCCTGTGTACGCTAAACTAGTTTATTTTGTTTTGCTGTATACTGCAGCAGCCTACATTGAGGGCGGCAGCTTGGAAAGTTTGACTCGTGAGTATTGGAAAAAAATGTTTGAGTGACAAAATTGTCTATCTTTTTTGCAAAGTTTCAACTTGTCAAAGTTTTAAATTTTTATTAACAGTGAACACAAGTTTTATCTTATGTTTCCTTTATTACTATTTTTAATGGGTCAGTGGCACCCATTTTTAATAATTCATTTTCTGAAAGTATGGAGTGAACTGAGCTTCTAAGAATTTTTTCAGACTGTTGTAAACCGTAAATAACATGAAACCCTGTTTTGAAAATGTTAATAAGACCGGGTTGAAAAAACACTTTTGGCTGGCTCTAATGACGTAAACAAGAAAGGGAATTGGCGTTTGCTGGTTGGCTGAATTCAGCTTCAGGTTTTGCCTTGCTATGTCAACTTGACTGCCAGTTTTTGAATAGTCTGATTTTGATCAGCTTTTTGTTCATTTTTCGAACTGTTCAATGATGTTTTTGGTTTTTTCAGGAAATTTTACTCTGGAAAAACTTGACTACAAGCCTGTCAAAATTCCTTACCTCTGCCATATTATGGATTACTCAGTGGAGTTTCTTAGGAAGGAATGGTACTCCCCAGTGTTGTTATCGGGAAAAATTTGAAATGGTTATTCTGAACGCAGAATTGTGTTCGAGTTGTTGAAGCGTAGAGGTAAGCAAAGAATGATGAGTACCCCCCACCCCCCAAAGGTGATGTCAGTTTGATTGCATTTAGCAAAAAGGATTCTGCAAGATTACAGTGTTGTAAAAATGCTGCTTCTTCTTAATTATCTAAAAAATCTCCCAGAATAGCAAATACCTAGTTTTTTCTTTGCACCAAAAAATTGTGAACTTTAAAGAAAAAGAATTGTATAGCTTTGAAAATTGTACGTATCTTAAGTATTTTCAAAAGAAAAGAAGTAGTTGCACAGTTTTAAAAACAATGTAGGTAATCGCGCCGGTTCCTGTTGCTAAATGCAATCCAGTTTAAAGACATAGCCTCTACTCGGCTATTTGTGTTTGAAAAGTAATTTGATGACATGGATTGTATTTAGCAAGAAGGAACCAAGAACATTCCAATGTCCCTAAGATTGTGCAACTTTTCTCACCTTGTAAATATAAATTAATCATTTAAACTAGTTTTATTTTTATCCTCAATGAACTATACATTCAAGACAAAAATTGTCTTAGTACATTTAATTTTTCGTTGATTCCAGTAATTTCATCGCAAAGACTGTAAGTTGCAGAATCCTAGCAACATTGGTATGCTCTTAGTTTCTTTTTGGCAGGTGCATGGAGCTCTTGCATGTGTCAGGAATGTACAATTTACATTTTTATTCCTTTGCAAAATTTCTTGAGAAACACGATGGTGCCGCTAGTTTTCTCCGAAACGAACTTCGAAGCGCAAAAAAAGCTGTTGAGGTAGAGACGATAATGGAGGGGATTCCCCACGCTACGCTGGGGGGCAAACTCTCCATGCAAAGATAAGGAGCAAATACATTAGCAAGGTTGCTATGTTTTCAGATTTGGATTACCTAAGCAAAGTGTCAACTAGCTGTTAATGTATTCGTTCCCTATCTTTGCATTTAGAGTTTGACTTGATATGGAGGTTGACTCTCAGGATAGTGTGGGATATCCCCCCTCTACTCCGAGAGCTTTTTGTAAGTTTTGAAGTTCAATTTAGAGAAAACCAGTATCAATATTGTGATTATCGTGAAATTTTACATAGGAATCAGTACTTAAATTGTAAATTCCTGTCACATGCAAGAGGTCTAGTGGCTAAATATAACTGTAGTTGGCCTTACTACATCAAATGTTGCCTAATTACCTCTGAAATTTTTTTAAACAAAAAACCAAGCTACTTTAGGACTTGAAATTTTGTGAGTATATTTCTCACAGTCTACAAAAATCTGAAAGGAATTAGGTAAGTGAAAACCTCTGCTAGCTCTGTTAAAAACTGAATCTTGAGAATAAATTAGGTAATGTGAAATGCAATTAGGCCAATTCTAGTCAAATCTGTCCAATCATTATTCAATTTTTCGAATTCTGCAGTATCCTCAAATTTGATGAAAGTGTAATACATCACGGTCTGGCCAAAGGAACTAGCTCTACTTGTGCCCAAGTGTCTTACTGCTGAACTTCAGAAACATGTCAGATTTTTAATGGAAAAACTAATGAACAGAATCACTCAAAAATTTTACCAAATACTTCTTTTGACATCAAGATTAGTTCCTGAAATTTTCATGAAAGTGCATAAAAATGGTTTGAAGATAAAATTGAAACAAAATAGAGATGTCTGGCAACATTATGCATAAGCATAAATTGCGTTTGTAATACTGTAGCTGGGAGGAGTGGGAGGTGATGAATCGAGAGTTGTTGAATTTTTTATCATGTGGGTTTTTTTTTCCAGAAAATTGGACCGCTCTTCTATCTTTGTGACAACCTCTGGAATGCCGTGCGGTATCATCTGTACAACTCACACTCACCTCTTCATGTAAAGGTAGCAGAGTATAGATTTGAAGTGAAGTAGGAATATTTTGCTTTAAGGTATTCCTTAAGGTATGTACATACCATTTTTTGTTTTAACGCTCTTGAATGTCTTTGAAATTATTTTAGAACCCTTTTAAAATCCTTCATTTTGCAAAGTACTCAGAATCAAAGGTGTAAAAAAAAGCCTCCTCTACTCATCCAAGACCATAAGTTTTTCTGCACATATTTCCTCCAATTTTCTGGAAATTTCATCAGGTCTAGGAAAAATTGAGGAATTTTATGAATAAAACTGGAAATTTAAGAAACCTAAAACAGGAATTTCAAAATATCTCAAAACTTGAAATCCGAAAAACTTCAGCAGTGTCCCTACACTCAACCTAAGCTGCAGTCAAGTCAGGATTAAATTCTCTGCGCCACATTCTGGATTATGAGTAGAAAAATAATTTTCTCTTAGGAATTGCAGTTATATTTTATTGAATGATTAATACCTGAAGACAAAAGGTCCGCATGTATGAACCAGTTGCAGTGAAATTAATGCCAAAAATTGTTCATTTTTAGTTAGATGCATGGCAATTTGGGTTGAAAAAAAGTCAGGAAATTTTGATCATGTGGTCAGGAAAATCCTGGAAATTTGGAGAATTTTTCCCCCCAGGTGTGTAGACACCTTTTCAAAAGTATGCATCGACCAGAAATTAAAAAATATCTTTGTAGTAGTATTTGGAGCAAGGGCTGAAGTGACTATGGAGGCATCTTCATCTGACCCAGGCAATGGCAGAACCGCCATCGTGCACTCCGATGTTGGACCATGTTCTTTGACTCATGAAATGACCCAAACCGGTCTACTATTCACCGGTCCCGAAAACACTTTGATGCACAACCGATTCAACCGGTTTACATCGCGATGACTTCTAGAACGCAACCCAGCTTTCAAATAAGGCAATGGTAGATCGTATCGACAACTGTAGCAAACGCTCTGGAGTGTGAAATTTTTCGGAGCATAGCCATGCCCATAGTTGGGCTATGTTTTACTAATCTCCCCCTGAAATGTAGCACTGGCAGGAGGGCCCACTACAGGATTAATCTTTAAATTTTCCTTACTTTAGACCATTGACCTTCCTTTCTTCTGCAGTGTTTGAAATGCGCAAAATCTGCGCAAATAATTAAAATTGTGGCTAAAATTGGCGCCCAAGTAGTCATGATCAGCCAGCTATGTAAATGCTGAAACTGCAACAAACTCTTAGGATCAATACTAAAATCTATTAAAAACCCTTCAAGCAGGATTAAGTACTTTGGGTATTGGAAAGGGAAGAAAATGTGCAACCAGTTTCAAAACGAATGATTCTGAGGCACCTAAAGACATCCAGTTCTCATCATATATTATTTCAGAAAAAAAAACATTTTGACCCCTGTGTAAACCCTATTGGCCCTTAAATACAAGCAGGCCTATACATTTCTCCGTAAGATTCGAACGCTGCCCCACTGTGTTTCCATACTCATAAATATTTACATTTTATGTTTTACTCTTACCTTGTTTGATTTCCTGTGTTCAGGTCCTCGACAGTTACGAGAGTGAAGCAATTGAAGAACAAGCCGCGACTAACCTCGTTGCAAGGCTGAATTAAAGTGTGAGAAGGTCTGCAGGTAAGATGAATTTGCTGGATGTATCCCGAAAGACCAGTCACATCGTTTATTTCAAGGATGAATTCATTAAGCTGAATCCACCGTTAGGTTTAGATTGTGAATCTGTCTTTCAGCTCAAGGTATATAGAGATAAGACTCTTTGTTGTACAAAACCCGGTCAACCTGTGCAACTTTAAACAAATTTGTGGAGTTCCCCCCTTGACTCTTTCTCTCGCTCAAAGAACAAGAAGAACTGAAATAGACAATGATGGCTTTACTTTGCTTGGCCTGCACACAGCGGCTTTAAAACTGAACCCTCTATGGCATACCACAAAAACTAAAATTCTCTGGGAATAAAAATTGATGTAAATAGAGATTTTATTGTCTTGGTTGGCCCTTCTCATTGCAGCATCGAAATTAAAAGTGAAACTACTGTAGAATTGCACTACGATGAATACAAGTAAAGATCTGTATAAAGGGACCTCATTGTCGGGAAAAAACTTTTCTTGAACTTTTAGCAAATGCGTGGAGGGAGAAAATCTGATAATCTTGGTGTAAGTTGATCCTTGAAAGCTCAAATTTAAGTTAGAGTTGCAGGCAAATAGCCAAATCAGGCATTTTATTAATTCCTTGGCAAATAGCCAAATATTAAACATTTCAGAAGTTTCGTGTGTTTTTATAAAGAGCTCTCGAAATTTCAGTATTTTGATAGTAAGAATTTATCTAATTACCAATTATTATTATAATGCCTCTTTCAAAATGTTCTTCACATACTTTCAACTGTCAAAATTTTAAAAACTCCATATTTTGATGCAAATTTTTAAAAGCAATTGCTGTTTGTGAAGACGAATAATTATTTTGTTCAAAATTAGCAGAAGCGTCATGATTTCAATCTGAGTGAGAATGTCAGACACTTTGCCCGAGCATTTGACAAAATGCCTGATTTGATTATTTGCCTGCAACAAAGATGATGGTAAATATAGAGGGGGTCGAGTGAAGGTTAGTTTATCAAATCATACTGAGGTAATTACATGAGCAGGAATGCATTTTTAATGGCAAAGAGGCCAAATTCTATGAGTAAAATTGTTTCAAAACTGCAACTGCGTTTATCACCAATATTTTTTCGTTCTCAAAGTTTGAAATACTCCAACAGAGTCAATTTGAGGAATTTCTTGGTGTTCATTGTGGCAAATGATTTAAAGTCAACCCCTTATGCGAAAATATTCAATCGTTTCAATTTTATTACGCACAAAAAACTGTGCAGTACTGCCGTGCTAAGGGAAAACGCCGTATGAACCTCCAGGCGTTGCCAAATTTTCTTTAATAAGACAAGACTTTCCTGGGAAAACAATGAATATTTTTCCTCCAATTTCCCAGATAATTTTGTTTGTAATTTCACCTAAAGTTCCTGAAAATTTCAGGCAAAAATATTCATAAATTTCCTCAACAATAAACATTTTAGTGACAGAAATTTGGCAAATCTCGAATGTTCATAAGGCGTTTTTCCCCAACACGGCAGAGTAGGTGAAGAAGTCTGTCCAAAAAAAATTTTCTGATGCCATAGGACATGTACTTCGAGACATTTTCTGCACCATCTCCAATGACTTCCCCAAGAATAGGACATCTATAATGAAATTTGGGCATTCTTAAGTTTCCAAGTTTGTGTGTTATCATTCGGACAGATTTAAATGTTTCTTTTGCTTTCACTCACCTCATCTTATTTTTACCTAGGTCCAGATCCCTCCCCCATATGAGAGCGGAACAATCGAATATTAAGACACAACCAACCTTCCTCCAAGGGTTATCTATTCAAGTATGGAAAAGACTGCAGGAGAAATGAATTTGCTGTACACCGTCAGACAACTCCTCTGAAGCATGAGTTTACTGGATTGGATCGATCATCAGGTTTAAAATGTAGATCTTCCTTTCAGCTCAAAAAACATGGAGATAGGAATTCTTTTGTAAAAATCCTAGTTTACCTGTGCATCAGAAATTCCCTGTCCAAACAAATTTAGGGAGCTCTCTTGTTGACTCACTCTTTCAAATCAAAACTGAAATGAAGGAAAGTGAACTTACAAGGGGAACTTACAGACCTGCCGCCTCCGATTGGGCTGAATTTTTTTTTTACAGACTCTATGGACCAATTCTAGAGGTTAATTTGAGCCGTTTTCCCGAATGCGCAATAGGAAGGGCGTAAAAAATTCCCAAAAGTTGCGTTTTCGGCGTGTGATTTGGTCGTGCGGCGCGTGGCAACACTGAAGCAGCATCTTGTACCGCTTTATCGGCCTGAAGGTTTCAGCGGAGTCTGGAGCCCTACTGCACAGGTACTGGTTCCATGATAGTGATGTCCCGGGTTCGATCCCCGACTTTTTATTTTCCGCATGATCACGTAACATTTTATTGTTAATTCTTCATCCGCATTTATAAATCAAGCATAGTTCCGATCACTATCCCCCCCCCCTTCATTTTACGTACATTTTCCCCTGATATTTATTCACATTAACCACATATAATCGTGTGAAACTTTATTGATATAAATTAATGAATTAAAAACTAAAGGGCTAAAATAATGTGTTTCTTGGCGGCCCTTGCATGCACATGGGTTTGGGGTTGCTCTTCGATTTATTTACACATTACATATTTTTCCAGGAAAACGTTGGAAGATAATGTAGTAACAAATAAGGTTTCCTTTTGCTTTTTAATTCATTAATTTATGTCAATGAAGTTTCAAACGATTATATGTGGTCAATGTGAATAAATATCGGGGGAAAATGTACGTAAAATGAGGGAGGGGGGGATAGTGATCGGAACTGCTTGATTTATATATGCGGATAAAGAATTAACAATAAAATGTCACGTGATCATGCGGAAAATAAAAAGTCGGGGATCGAACCTGGGACATCACTATCATGGAACCAGTACCTGTGCAGTGGGGTTCCGGACTCCACTGTAACCTTCAGGCCGATAAAGTGGTACAAGAGGCTGCTTCAGTGTTGCCACGCGCTGCACGACCAAATCTCACGCCGAAAACGCAACTTTTGGGAATTTTTTACGCCCTTCCTATCGCGCATTCGGGAAAACGGCTCAAATTGACCTCTAGAATTGGTCCATAGAGCCTGTAAAAGAAAATTCAGCCCAATCGGAGGCGGCAGGTCCGTAAGTTCCCCTTGTTAGCTTTTATTACTGCAGCATGAGAATTAAAAATGAACCCTCTACCACACTCCTCAAGAAAGAACTCCTCTGCAGAATTAAAACTGAACTTGACGAAAGTTATTGTACTTTTGTCGTTATGCTATATATGTCGCAGGCAATTAGCATTCGCTGGCAATTTGCAAGCGGTTCACATGTTGTTTCAATATATTGCAATAATGCGCATCGGCGCAATGCAATTTTCAAGGGTTATAGTCTTCAAAAGTTTAAGCTCGGTGAGTAATGCGCCTTCATTTTTTGTGATACTCTACACTTTGTCACGATGTTAGTTTTATTCCCTGTCGGATCTCAACCGGACTAATGTCTTGGAGTTCACTGCACGCTCTCCCGAGTGTGCATATTTCTGCCATGTTTTTAAATAATGTGTGTTTCTACGCGTTTCTTTGACTCCTGAATGCACCCCCAAAAGATTCAAAAAAACTCACGAAATTTCGTGAAATTTCACGAAATTTTCAATTTCTGGTAGTGCGAAGTACTTACTCTACAAGAGGAAGGTATCAGGCCATAAGATGTGAGTGCGCTATTGAATGCACCTAAACTCTCTTTGACGGAGGTGAAGTTGCAGGGACCGAAAATGAAAACCATGATGTGATGTACAATCAAATTCTCCGCAAATCTGTAATATTTTAATTATTTTTGTCTTTATTTTCTAGACTGAAAAGATGTATTTTCGAGAAGATCCTTGCCTGCCTCTCGTTATAAAACTGAATAAAGGCTTCCTTCCAGAAACTAAGGCACTGATTGAAGCAACAACAAGAAAAGAATACAGCTGGTAACAATGAATCCTCAGGGTTCCTCTTATTATTTCTGTAGACTTGAAAAGACTGTTGGGACGTTTTAAAAAATTACAGTACCAATTTTTCTGATGGACAACTCATATTCTTCATAGGTCAGAGCATCTGCCTTGTTACCTCCATTTTTCGATTTTTTGGCACTGAAAAGCCTACAAAAATATGTGACATACGTAGTCCAGTAAAATGTCCAATTGACAGAAATTTCAATTTAGTGGGCGAGAAATTTAAAATTTGAGGAAAACGCAGCTAAAGTTTGCCGACATTGTTAATATCCCTCGAAGTATTTAAGATCAAGCACTCATTAAATTGCCATTAATAATGCAAATTATGGCTTGCTCATTGTATCCGATGTTTCTCAGAGCACTGGAAAGGGCGTGGCATCAGAAACGGAAATTGATAGTTTTTATAAAAAACAGGTTTTTTTGGCTGCACCAAACAATTTGAGTTTCACTTTAAGGTAAGCTTTACCTGACTACGTCATGTATGAAGATAATGTTGGGGGCTTTGCATGGTGGTTGTCTTACAACCACCCGAAAAATATTTTTAGGTAGGACTTATTATCCTAATTGTAGACATCTGTTCGACAGAGGGTGAACTGGAGGTTTCGTTCCAGCACGGGCGGAACTAGGGGGGAAGGGGGAGAGCACAGGGGGATCATATATCTGGGGAAGGGGTTGCAACCCCTTCCTCCAGACATCCTCTTGGCACCTTTCAACAAGTGGACGTAGTTTTGTCAAACAGAACTATGTGCAGGTGGGAAAGGTGGAGTGTGCTTGTCAGTGTTCGGATCATTAAAATGAATGGGAACTGTGAAGCGCCAGTGACGAAGCCGCCACCGCGGTCGCCCTTCGGCGTCTTTAACTCATGCGCCCTGTTCACAAGGCTCTAGACACATGCCCATGGCTCATACACTTTGCACCTGGTTCCTTTTGACAGAATATAAAATCCCGCTTTTCCAATTCAGCAAACGGAATTGCAAGCCAACTTAATGGGGCACCCATGAGCCATGAGCATGAGTACAGCGTTGTGGCCAGGGCTCATATGTTAAAGACGGTGAGGGGTGACCACGGCGGTGGCTTCGTCATTGTTACAAGTAACATAATCAGCACTCTAATCTTGTTCTTTTGTTTTTGAATTTTATGATTTTCTATATTTATTCACCACTGGCTTGCAAATTGCCCGCGATTGATAATTGCCTACGATATAAAGCAACATTAAAATTAAAAGTGAATCTTCTGTAATACAAAGAAAAAATTAATCATTCATAAAGCACAAGGTAAAAAAACAGCCGAATCCAGGAAAAGGCTGCTGTAAAATTCAAAAGATGAGCCAAAAAAAACCCGGATGTTTCGAATAACATTTCGGTGATTATAGTTCCAACTTTCAGATAATCTTTGTTTTGCCATGCCTGGGATTTGCCGCAATAGGCCAGATCTGTTTACTATGTAATCAGTATCAGTCTTACAACAAAAGTGAATCGACAACTTGATTTTTTCTCTTTTATTTTTCTGGTTAATAATGAGATAGTAATTAAGTTGAAACTTCCTGGTTTTTTATATTGTGTGTTATCTTTTATATTTTCCAGCAGCCTTTTAGTTGTCTTTTTACTTCTATGGAATTGCTAAAAAAAGACAATGTTTGCAAGAATGGTGAAGTTGATGATGTTCTGTTTGACTGTCCTCTACCTGCCATCACTGGTAAAGATGAAAAAAACGTTATTTATCACTATCTATAGCTCGGAAACCAATGGTTTGCAGACAGTGCTCTGTCAAATGACAATGTTATTTGAATCAACACTTGTCAAAGTATTTAGAAACGGTCAGTCGCCAGTCTATGCTCTGCCTCTTTGTGCTTGCGCTCTAGTGCGCTAAATACTTAAATTTTGCGGAATAATTAGAATATTGCAGCATTGGCTAAGCATCCGATGCGGAGGGTCCTCAGTTTCCAACAAGTCCCTCTGCATGTTGGTGGTTGGCATGCAGTTCCATTTTCTCATTCATCTCTTTATTATTTTAATATCCAGAAAAACGATTCTCTGCCTTGACCATGTTTATTAGGTTTAATAGGTGCACCATCAACATCAAAATCAAAGAGAAAAGGTCGTGAAGTAAAGAAAGGTTAGAAGCTCCTGCCAGGTCTTAATTCTCGTTGAATTATAGATTCAGAATTGTGTTTCAGTATGCTAGTTCCAAATTGAAAGCTAACAATTTCCAAGACAACAAAGTTACTCTCATCAAAAGAAAATATAGGATTCTCTTAACTCCAGATTGAATGAGATCGAGAGTCGAGCTCGTTTTAAAAAGGAGCTCACAACACTGCTAAGAGTTTTACATTTGAACCAGATCCAATCTACCTCTAAAATGTTGTTGGAACGCTCATCATTGTCAATAGCTGAATTCCACTTCTTGGCATTTAGATGTGGTTTCATTTGAAAATTTTGTTGCATAATATTTGCTAATGATGATTGGAATACATGGAATATATTTGCAACACTACATCAGAAGGTTTAAGTACATAGGTTTTTCGTGAGAAAAATCTCTGGCGGTACGATTTTTTCTCAAATTTGAGGGAGGGGGAGGGGAGAGATCCACAAAAGGGCGGGGTTTTCGATTTATGCGTCAGGTTTCTTGAACTTGAATTCTTCCCAAGGCGGTGAGTGGACCATCTAGGAAGGCTGGACCATTTGCATGGGTGGTAGGGCCGGAACTTAAGGCGAGTTAATGTAAAGCATTCGGCTTACGTTATGCACCACGTGATGTATGCCTGTACGTGATGTATGCCTTTTTTGTATCTCCTTCAAAGAAAATAAAGTCCGGCAGGAACGATGAGGGCTAAAACTACGCATAGTCGTAAATGGATGGTGCTAACTCCAGAGAGTTTGTAAATATAAGTGACCGCTTGCTACAAATGGGATGATAACCAGTAGCGGAACTGGTTTTTTTAACGCCAGCGTGTGGCCGGTTGTGTGAGACACATAAATTTAGCGGAATGAGAAAAACAAAGGCGCGCTATCATTTGATCAGCGAGAATATTGAAGACGACACATACGTGCGCTATCAACAATCATTTTTTAGTACTTTAGGTAATCCGCATTCCTCGCAAGAGCTAAAGGCCTCCACTTCTTATCTATCAGCAACCTTTTCATTGGGTTTCGCAGGCAATTCTCAACAACCGCCCTGCATTAATGCGCAGAGTATTTGGTGAGACTTTTGTGTGATTAAGCATCATCTGTCATTGGTGGAATGGGACATATACCATTAGAACTAAATGATGACGATGTAGGATTTTCTGGTTGTTTGGCAAAAAATTTATTACAAGATTTTGGCTTAGATTCTTTTTTCTGCCAATCTTGAACAGGGAAAATTTGGGGGGTTGGTTCTGAAACTTCCTTTGGAGGAGTTAATAAGTTTAATAGAGATTCATGAGAAATGAAGGATTTTACCGAGGAATCAAATTCAGCCATAGTGTTATGGGGCAGTAACATGACAGTTTGCGAAATTTTTCTAGGTAAAGAAGATAGAACGTAAAAAATAATCTTTGTGTCTGAGGCACACGGAATCATTTTGGAACAAATGGTTTTTACTGTATAAATGTGATCCATTAATTTTGTGTGATCTGACAATTTTAAATTTCGTAATTGAAGCTTTCATGTTTTGCTTTATTTGCTGTAATTGAAGCTTTAACTTCGTCCTTAAATTGAGGAAGAAAACTAGTTTTAAAAGTCCTAAAATTTAATTTCGGGAACTTAGCTTTTAACAATTTAAAATAAGAAAGCGCTTCAGAGAATAGGTATTTTTCGATTAAAAATGGAACAATATCGGGTTTCCATGAATCCATCAAGCAGTATCCATCAGGATTAAACATAGAAACAAAATAAATGAATACTCTTAGGCAGGTAAACAGTCATTTAAAATCCTTGAAATACTCTTAAAAATAATTAAATTTGGTACAAAATAGCGGACAAACATTTTTATGAGTAGTTATTTCTGCAGGTAAAGTCTTTTAAAATCCTTGAAATACTCTTAAAAACAATTGAATTTGGTACAAAATAGCGGACAAACATTTTTATGAGAAGCTATTTATTGCTGGGATTTATCGGTTCCAATTCATCATAATCACAGCCAAAGAGACCTTGAATATTTGAGCGCTTATCACAGTTACGATTGATGTTGTTGCCATTGTGGTTGAACTAACAGGAATGAAATAAGATATGAAATAAACATAAATGGTTTGTCCACTCTTAATTTGCCGGCCTTTTTCGAAGCTCACAACCTTCCGTGATTTATCAATTATAGTCCAATTAATGGCTGCATCACTATCATACACAGCTTCAAATGACTCAATTGCACCGCTTACCCTTGCTTTGAAAATACCTTCTTGTAGGTTATTCTATGAACAATCGTGAAGAAATAAAACTAATAATTCATTTGTGAAATCATGTTGTTTCTTGAAAAAAAAAAGAGAAATACAAAGACTGCTCTCACGTTTATGCACGAAGTCAAAGAAATATGTCAAGATTTGCCTAAAAATGGAGCAGGTGCTCCGTTTTTAGGCATATATTCTGAGGATACAGTCAAACCTCGCTATCTCATTCATTGGATAAGCGAGAAACCAGCCTAAGTCAGCAGAATCACTCGGTCCTGTTTGTCACCCATATGATTCATTGCTTAAAAAACCTGCATTAGCGATAATTGCGTAATTCAGAACCCGCTTAAGTCAACAAATTTTTTTGGTTTGGACCGAATAAAAAACTCCTTGAACGCACCATTTTGCGAAAATTTTACTTGATCTCTCCAACTATTTGTAAATTCGGATTCGTCTGTTGCTTGATAAAGAGGGAAAAAGAAAGTTACACCTTGATAACCTGGAACCGAGTGAGATTTATTCTTCAAAATCGTGTACAGATTTTCGCACCGCGTGCGTCATAAGTAAAGTACAAACAATTGGGTGTCTAGTGTTTTCATTACCTTGAAGCGTCTTTGACGCTCGTTGACGTCTTAGCAATTTTAAAATCATAACAAAAAGTCAGTGGAGTTATCCTGCATTTTAACTTCAAATAATTTTTGTTTTACCAATTTCAGAGGCTTGATCAACGTCGCACATTGGGACGAGCCCATTACAGAAACGGGACATTCACGGTAAAAATGAAAATCATTAAAAGCAAGAACCAAAGGTGTAGAAGTTACCTGGAGGGTCTAAACTTCCAGAATAACGAAGATTTTAGCGATTTAATTGAAGAATATTCAAATGACAGGCGTAGAGAAACGCGTGTTTCGGAAAGATGAAAAAAAGAGGTAAATGCGCACGCATACAAATGTTGCTCCTCTAGCCTCCGAGATGATTTTAAATGCAATTTTTTGTTATGACAATTGAATACAAACATAGACTATTCGTTTACGTCTTTGGTGATGATTACTTTTTACTTCCTGGGGGTCAGAGAGTGAATTCAAAATCGACAAGTCAAAAAACTAAAATTCAAACTTCAATTAGAGTTTTAAAAAAATGTCCAGACTTGTCCAAGAAACGGTTTGCATATCGAGATTCTACGTATCCTTAGCTTTTAGAATCATATTAGTTTTCATCCGACTTCTTCCGACTTTGGAAGTTACAAGGGAAAACATGAGCGNCTTTTAAAATCCTTGAAATACTCTTAAAAATAATTAAATTTGGTACAAAATAGCGGACAAACATTTTTATGAGAAGTTATTTCTGCAGGTAAAGTCTTTTAAAATCCTTGAAATACTCTTAAAAACAATTGAATTTGGTACAAAATAGCGGACAAACATTTTTATGAGAAGTTATTTATTGTTGGGATTTATCGGTTCCAATTCATCATAATCACAGCCAAAGAGACCTTGAATATTTGAGCGCTTATCACAGTTACGATTGATGTTGTTGCCATTGTGGTTGAAGTAACAGGAATAAAATAAGATATGAAATAAAAATAAATGGTTTGTCCACTCTAAATTTGCCGGCCTTTTTCAAAGCTCACAACCTTCTGTGATTTATCAATTATAGTCCAATCAATGGCTACGTCACTATCATACACAGCTTCAAATGACTCAATTGCACCGCTTACCCTTGCTTTGAAAATACCTTCTTGTAGATTATTCTATGAACAATCGTGAAGAAATAAAACTAATAATTCATTTGTGAAATCATGTTGTTTCTTGAAAAAAAAAGAGAAATACAAAGACTGCTCTCACTTTTATGCACTAAGTCAAAGAAATATGTCAAAATTTGCCTAAAAATGGAGCAGTGCTCCGTTTTTAGGCATATATTCTGAGGATACAGTCATACCTCGCTATCTCATTCATTGGATAAGCGAGAAACCAGCCCAAGTCAGCAGAATCACTCGGTCCTGTTTGTCACCCATATGATTCATTGCTTAAAAAACCTGCATTAGCGATAATTGCGTAATTCAGAACCCGCTTAAGTCAACAATTTTTTTTGGTTTGGACCGAAAAAAAAACTCCTTGAACGCATATTTTACTTGATCTCTCCAACTATTTTTAAATTCGGATTCGTCTGTTGCTTGATAAAGAGGGAGAAAGAAAGTTACACCTTGATAACCTGGAACCGAGTGAGATTTATTCTTCAAAATCGCGTACAGATTTTTGCACTGCGTGCGTCATAAGTAAAGTACAAACAATTGGGTGTCTAGTGTTTTCACTACCTTGAAGCGTCCTTGACGCTC